CCCTCTCCCCCTTCCTCCCTCCCCAATTCCTGCAAGTCACCCTTAGAGCTATTGCATCATCATTACACCATCATGTGCTCACCATTTCATAATCTGGCTGCAAGTCTTCTCCTTCCACTTGAATAGAGAATTGTGGACAGTGAATGTTTCCTTGATCACTCTAAAATAGAGAAAACTCATCAATACATTCAAATACTACATGGGGTTTTGCATTCCTGGGCAAGTTACGCATCAGAAAAGTTTACTTACAAAGTAAGTAATTTACCAAATAGACAAAAATCAATAAGTTAAAAAATGCTTTACACAAATGCTTCAGAAATACTTCTCGAAGCCAGAGTATTAAAATATCTGAAATTACAGCTATCTTCTACTTTTGTAATCTACAAGGCTGAATAACTTGGCATATACAGCACTATTGAAAGTGATTTATTTTGCAAGTAGCATTTATTTACTAGGCCCTCTTTGATAGTACTAATACTCACCAAAGAATGACTTGGCACATTTTCAGTTGAACTTCTGGGATCAAAGTAAGGTCTAAAAAAATATTTACGAATGTGATCAAGACAAAAGTTTGGCCTTATGAAGTTAAAGAGATCCGTACTGTTCCAAACATTCTAGAAATACCTTAAAGATGGTTTAGGTGTTGACACAATGCTAATGGTGTCTTCAAGAAAGTCATTTTCTGCATCACTGTCCAAGTCCTCCAGATCGTCAGGAAAAAGGAAATCATCAGCAGTTTCATTTTCTGGAGGACTGATGTCAATATCTGGGTATGTTCCCATTTCACTTTCAAATTCCTAAAGGTGAAATGAATCAATTTGTTACTATTTTTACATACAGTCATGTACAATGCATGAATGTCTACAAAACAAATTTTGGTAACCATATTACTTACTTCTTCTGGAACTTTAAACTTCTTTAAGAGTGCTATAAACTTTTGTTTAAAATTCTTTTGGTGCTGAATGAAAAAAAAGAATAAATAAATTTCATACATTGTGAATGAAAGCTTATAACTAACTACAACCAAAAATCCATGTTGGTGCGGGTCTTTGCCAAGATCACCCAGAAGCAAAACAATTACTACTGCAGAAATTTCTTCCAAAGCCCAAACATTAATAACAATGTTAAGTAACTACGCATAAAACTCTCTTTCAAATATTAATGATATTATGCCATTTGAATAAAATCTGATTAGATGTATTTTCCAAACCTTTGCAGGAATAGTTATTTTTCCATGTCTTATTTTCCCGCCTTGTCTCTGTTCCACATCTAAAATAGCCTTTAAAATACAAATAAAAGAACTTTGCTACCTCTCACAAATGACATCCACTGTCTAAATAAACACACTCATGTAAAATACAACCAGTAAAACCCACATTCCAAGATTACAATATTGAGCCAAATAACTGAGATTGACATTAGATTTTTCCCTTTATTAATTATTGCTATTTACAGCCGATGAATCTAAGTGAATCAGTTGTCTGAAATCATGCCCTGCACTGAGGATTCAGATAATAAACTTACAGCATCTCCACCACTATCACTTCCTTCCTGGTCAGACAGTGAGAAGTCATCATCATCATCACTAGAATTGTCATCACCATCACCTGAAGTGTGAAATAGAGTAACATCTAATCAATGGTGTGTACAAGTAAAGGCATTAAATCAAATAGAACCTAGGCATTTTTCAAATTTAAATTCAAGAAACTCTAAGTTTTGCATATGCATCATGAAACAAACCCTAGTGTAAAAAAATGGTAATTGCAGCCACAGTTACAGTACATAATATGTACTTGTTGACTGAGTAGGAAGGCCAGACAGGAGAATACTTGGCTCAAGGTCATGAGGTACAGACCAAGTGCAGCAAGGTCTGTGCTTCATGACTAAGAGCCACATATTTTCCTGTCCAGCCCAACCAAACTAAGTCAATAAGAATTTTATTATATGACCACTAAATGTTGAAAATTCCAACCAAAATAGGACACGATAGACAGGCACACACAGGCACAGAGCACAAATAAAAATTCTGCAATAATTAAACCTTTCCTTTATTATTTTTTTTTTTAAGTCAGAACTAGAAACTCCCAATTCATCCAGAAAAATGCAACATTTTTTAACTCATTTCTGTTTTCCTTGAAGTTTTTGCAACAAGGCAACATAAGGGCAGCAGGGCTGGAGAGCTTCTTCCAGACCAGCTCACTTGGACCCACCTAGCAGGCTGCACACATCAGCTTTCACTATGGTTTTCAGCGGGATTGTTAGAGTAGGACTGGACAGGTCTTATGATAATTTTGAATATTATCTACTTGAACTACCTCTAACTAACGATCCAGTTAGTCGGTTTCCATCTGTTTCAACTGGTTGACTGAAAATAAAGACAGAAAAATCAATATATCAGACCTTTACAACCAACAAAACTAAACCAAAATTATCATTTGAAACATCATCTTGAAATACATAGAAAAAAGAATTAGTAAAAATTTGGAAAAAAAAAGCCCAGACTTTTCTCCAGAAGTGCAAAAACACCTCATTTTTTTTCAAATATCAGCTGTGGAGATGTCTCCTGTCTAAAAGTGCAAGTGACTACAGGTGAACCTGGGAAACTGACTGTCACTGGGATGACTTTCCAAAGACATAATCACCTAAAGTAAATAATCTTTTATTTCAGCTCTATATATAATTTCTGGAAGCTGAAGTATGACTAAATAATAAAGTCAAATTCCACCCATCTTCTAATTCCAGTTTTCTTTTTCACCATCACACAAATGTGAAAATTATGTTATACTGTTCAGTGCTAACTTTCAATAATTCAGAGGAAACCTGCATTACCACGAACAGGAAACAATGTTGGATAACATCATGCATTACCTGGTTAGGGAATTAACAGTAACCTGGGCCACGGGAACAAGACTTCCTTTCATGTACAACTTTAGTTGATTGTCCACGGAATGTTGGAGAACCTGGTGAGACATCAGTGAATATTATCATTAGCCTTACAACAATTGATACAACACAATGAACCTTGTTTCCTAGTAACAACCACATCATGTTAGCCACAACAGAATTAAGTACCTAGAAATGATAACTAACCTGTCCCATGTTAACAAGGCCCACAGCTAGTGTTTTAAAGCCAAGAATTGTGCGATTCTTGTACTTCTTTCGTCGTTGAAGCATAACTTGAAGATTGTTACCAGCTCTCTTCAAAAAGTGTGGATACTTAAACAGAGAATAAAATCATCACAGTCTTTGAAGAGGAACTGTTCTGAAGTCATAAAGCAATATTTAACTCTGGTTATTTCTGAATCTACACTTAAACCATACCTATAAACTAAGTGACAAGAGACAATAAAAATGCATGCTTCTTCCTTGTTTTTAGTGCCACAATTACAAGTAAGTCACTCAGTTACTTTTACTGGTATTTAACTCTTTCTTTATTTATAGTCCATTAGTTCCTTTAAATATCCTAGCAACAGAAAAAGAGTGGAGCAGCTGATGGAAAGTGTCCAAAGATTTTTTCCAGTTTTGTTTATTAACTTAGCAAGAAGCTTAGCAGAGCTTATTCATGATTTAATTTATATTTAAGAGTTCTTTTTCCTAGTTTTTTGTCCCACTAATAGGGCTTCTGACAGAAACTGTCATCCATGTCACTCAAAAACAAAAACTGACCAATCCTATTACAGAAAAATACAAATTGAAAGTCCAGTTGATCTAAGCAGTCACAAGTGGACAAAATACAACAGTCAAAGATAAGATAATCAACTCAGTTTTATCACGACCCCTTTCTCCCTTTCTTAACATATATTTCAATCACAATACAAATGCTCCATTTGAAATTACAGAGTAAACCAATTGTGCAATATTCATTTCGGAACTAATGCTTTTTAATTCTAAAGCATGATATATCTAACAGCTAAACACCTACTAACATATCTAACTTATTTGCTTCCAAACCTAATATTCATTCATATAGTACAAGATCATCTTCAAGAGGTGGCTATCATGTTAAGCACTCAAGGTTAGACAAACAAACTAGTAACTCTTTTTCAAGGTATGGTGTACAAATCTGGAACAGTTTACTGTATGAAATGCATCAAATGTCCAAAAATAACTTTAAAATCAATGTCCACGATACTTTACTCTGAATACTTCAGAAGAAAATTATTATATTGATTTACCTAACTTAATAACAAAAATTTCCTGAAAACTCCGCTTCTTATATTTCCAATCTTAGTTAAATTGAATTTATTTTTATTCATTTATTTAACAATTTTTTACTCTTTTTCTCTAGTCTTTCTTATGAGCCATTTGTATTTATATATATATATATAACATAACCACTGCTCGCCTCGACTAGCTAATATGCCAACTGCAGGTAGTGGATATTGCTTTCTGTAATATTTGCCATAATTATGAGAAGCAAAGATTATAATATACAGTGTAATTTGCCCATTTTTTGGTAGACTAAGTGGTTAAGTGACATCTTCATTTTCCTTGTCTGAATGGAAAAGCTACCCATCTTAGAAATTCAGACAGCCCAAGTTTCCTGCCCTGGTTATCATATTTATTAATCAATAATTATCCTCATTAACTGACCTGCAGAGAAAAGGATAGATCCAAATCGGTGTCAATCAAACCAGAGGATGGAAGAACTATCTCATTGGACCTTAGTGTTCTGCGGGAGCTCTAATTAAAAAACAAATGCAAGTGAATCAAAATAGCAATGATTAATTAATAAGGGTTAAATTACAGTACAATTAAGATTGCATTCTTACATTTCCTTTTCAAATATTATACTCCAAAGCATTAAATATATCATGGTTTATTTACCTGCATTGAGACTGAAATGATAACTTCAGTCAGACTTGGCTCTAAGGGTTTCAACAGCTCCAGTCGAGTCAAGGTCATTGTACACAACCTGAAACAGAACTCTAATCATCAACTGTCTCATTTGACAACTTTTAAAGAAACATTTTCAATACAGAGAGTAATTAAATCCTGGAAGATTACATTACTTGCTTTCAATGATTCTGATGCTGTCAGTACTAGTGCTTTTCATAGAACTTAGTGTCTTAGGACTTGAACAATGACTACCAATCCACTTTTAAAACAACACTACGACTAAGCTTTGCAGAAGCAACACTGCACTTGATCAAAGGGTTGGATTGCTGAAATGACTCCTTTTTTGTTTCATGTATGATAAAGTATGACTATATAATTGTGAATGTACAAAAAAAATGAAAAATCTAACTGATAAACCATACTCTCTTGGCACTTGTCAGAGGTTAAACAAAGTAATTTCGCCAAAGGTAAGGATAGGGCTTCAAGTGATGCTTTATATTTTTTAAAATGAAAACAAAATTCCCGCCCCAAACAGAAGTTTACCTTCAAATACCAAAACATAAGATTAATAATAATAATAATAATAGTAATAATAATAATAATAATGAAGGAGTTGGTCGGAAACAAGAGTGAGGGAGTTCCTCAAAATATGCAGAAGGCTGTGATCTCGGGAACACTTTTTATCTCTTGGACATCTAAAGTTGTAACATGAACAATGGACACCGCTTTCTATTTAACTCTTTGCCTTCAAAAATTCTGTGGAGTATTAGAAATTTAGGAAGTGATTGTCACTGATTAATTCTTTCATAGCCAAAATAAGTAATAGGTTTTTAAAGATTTTATAACGACTATTTTAGATTTGGATATCCGAAATAACTATTTTTTTTTAATTTCTCGAGGGTTTTTTGTTTTTCACTATAGTTAACTGGCTATGCTCACGCACCCTGTCATACTATTCTTACTGTATATAGCAAACAAAAGTTTTAAACTGCTGCATAATAATAAAAATTTGGATATATCAACAAAGTTGAAATGGTAAATTAGCCACCGTAATGATTACAAAAGCTGACGTTTCGAGTGTTAGCCCTTCGTCGGAGCGACGACAAAGGGCTAACGCTTGAAACGTCAGCTTTTGTAATCATTACGGTGGCTAATTTACCATTTCAACTTTGTTGATATATCCAAATTATTTCGTTACTCCCACCGACGCAGCCCCAAACAGTTTCTTTCGAAACTATCAGCCTTTAATAATAAAAATGTTATTTAACCAGGGTGACCTTTTCAGCATAAAATACTGATTTCAATAAGGGCTCTACAACAAAAACAGAAAACTTAAATACAGTCACCAATTTTAAAAGTAATTAAAAAGCTTGTGATCCATAGAATTCTAAAATACGAGTTTTAAAAATCATGACCGAGTTAAGATCCTTCAGTTCATTAGGAATATCGTTAAAAAGTTTTGATCCATTAAAATAAAAAGACTTCCTTGCAGTCTCAGTTCTCTCCTTGGGAAACATTAAGTTCTTCCCATTTCCCCTGGTGTTGTGGATAGTTCTAAAAACCTTAAATTAATCTTTAAAAAACATTGGTGGGGATCCTTTGAGCATTTGAAAGTTAAATTAATAGTATGCATGTCACGCCTCATAGACAAGGGAAGCCACTTTAAATTCTTCTTGGCATCTAACCTATCACATTCTATTTTCCCAATGCTGCTCCAAGCAACATTGCAATAATCCACAACTGTAAAAACAAGAGACTGATAAACCTCGTTGGCTGAGTCAACAGTTAGATTGTTCTTAATTCTTCTGAGGACACCGATTCTTTCGGAAACCTTGACCAGTAGCTTATCCACATGTTGTTTGAAATTAAGATTTGCATCTATCATCACACCAAGGTATTTGTAATGTCGAGCTTGATTTATTGGATTCTCCCCGAGGAATACGCTAAGTGGCCCGTTTGACAAGGTAGCCGAAGCAATTCGTTGTCGATTGCCAAAAACAACGTATTCGGTCTTCACAGGATGAATGCATAATTTATTATGATAAGTCCAGGACTGCAACTGTTTTACGTCTTTAACTGCAACTGTTTTACATCTTTATTCAAAACAGTACTTATTTTCCTTTATTTTTATGTTTGAGTCACCATAGAAAAGGACAGCATTGTCCGCATAGAGTAGGATCTGTGACTGAAGTAGACAGTTGGGCAAGTCATTAATATACATCGAAAACAAGATGGGACCAAGTATGGACCCTTGTGGGATGCCAGACTTTATCTGTTGAGAATCAGACTGTGTGCTGCCATAGACAATAGATTGACATCAATTTGTAAGATAGTTCTCAAACCACTTCAGTTCTTGGTTTTGGATGCCAAACCCAGACAATTTCTTTATGAGAAGCTGGTGATTCACACTGTTGAAGGCTTTTCAAAAGTCAACAAACACCGCTGCTGTAATGTGACCATCATCTAAATCTTTCTAAATACAATCCGTGAAATATGCTACCGCGTCCTGGGTAGAGTGATTTTTTCCGAAAACTGCACTGGACGGGAGACACCTGGTTGGACTTATCTAAATGATGGAGTAGCTGAATTTGCATGGCTCTTTCAAGGATCTTTGAAGCCACCAGTAAGATGGAGATGGGATGGTAGTTATCCATACACATCTTATCCCCATCTTTATATTGGGGGACTACCCTTGTATATTTCCATTCCTCTGGTACAACTGCAGAGGAAATCGAGAGATTTATTATGGCTGTTAGAGGAGCTGAAATGCTTGAAGCTGCATCCATTAATAGATGGGTTGGAATACTATCAAGTCCTTTACTTTTACATACATTTTATTGTGTTTTGGGATAAAAGTACAGTAACATGCCCGCGGATAGCTAAGCTAATCTAGGCAGGTCATGTTTACAGGAAATAGATACAACTAAATACAGCCAAAGGTAACAACAGAACTAAAAAAGCTAGAATTGACAACAATGATTAGAGACTACTGATAAACTATTGATATTACTAATATTAAATGACAACAGTCTTGATGGGAGATTACTGATACATTAAACGATATAATTGAATACATATCAACTGATCAATCAAGAGGAAGATAAATTCAACTTAACTTTTCAAACGATTTCTGGAAGATCAATATAACAATCTTCTGAAGCTAGGATCTCAAAAAGTGTTTGTTTTATTTTCCTCTTGAAGGCATTTTTTTGAAAGTTTTCTAAAAGATACAGGCATTTCATTTCAATATTTTTGTTCCAATTCTAGAAAATGAATTCACTTGAATTGAGAGTCTGAAACTTTGTGTGTAAAAGTTATTAGAGGCAGAGGATCGAGTATTATAATTAATATCAGAGACATCTCGAAAAAGATTTTGAATGTTTCCAGGAGCATTACTGTATCTTATTTCAAACATAAGGTTAGCTAAATGCTCATAATACAACAATTTTAACGGTAAGACACCGGCGTTGATAAATCAAGGAATTGCATGCTGATTTTGCTCTGAGAAATAGATAAAGCGAAGGGCTCACTTTTGAAGCTTGAGAAGCTTTTCAAGGTACCATTTTGAGGGCCACTAGTTACTCAGTTGAAGCACTGTCCCGTGTTACCCTCGTTAAATAAAGTTGATTAATTGATTGATATGCTTGACCCCAGGCCGTCAAGCCATAGGTTAAATAAGGAGCAACAAGGGATTATTAAATAGTTAGAAGAGTATGTCTTGGCAGAAAATGCCGTAGTTTACAGATCAATCCTACAGTTCGACTCATTTTAATAGCTACGTGGTCAATATGATGTTTCCTGGAAAGGAACCTTTTAATGTTTTGTACCTTTTGATGTTTTAAGCACCCTAAGTTGATGATTTACAAATGCAGCTGATACTGGTTTCAAGGAGAACAAGGATTGACTTGAGTTGTTCAAACATGCTTCTGCGCTCAGATGGTTTCTGTTAAGAGTTGGGATATTAGAGAGCAATTTCTCCACAAGAGTTACAAAATATGTGCAAAAACCATTTGCAATGGTACTGGCATCCATAGTTGTTTTTCCATCTACTGTGATAGGCTCAATAGAAGCTGAAGGTTGAGGTGTAATTGATTTGTTGCAAAGGACATTCTTAACAGCTTTCCAGAAATTTTTGGGATCATCAGAATTTTCTTCTATGATTCTGCGATTGTAGCTGGATTTAGCTTTACGAATCACAGCAGTGACCTGATTTCTCAGTCTCTTATATCTGGACCAGTGTAACTTGGTGTTTGTCCAGCGAGCTTGGCAATAAAAATGATCTCTCTCAGCCATTGCTTTCTTTATCGTGTCCGACAACCAAGGGGTGTCTTTGCCACAAACTTTCTTTTCAATTTGAGGTGTGTGGTTATCAACAGCGCGCCAGAAACTTGTTCTAAAGTTCAACCACGCATCATTGACATCCTGGCACTCACTGACGTTATCCCACGAGACAGATGACAGCTCATCTTTAAATCGAGCAGCACAGTACTTGCTGTAGTTTCTGCATTTTATCATTCGTAGTTTAAACTTCAGTGAATTCAACTTTCTTATGAAAACCGACATGTCACGACCACCAAGCGCCGACTGGACAACCTTGACTGAGGTAATATTCTGTGGTCGAAAAGTATGAACAATGTCAATAAGAGTCTGGGATTCCCTTGTAACTCTTGTAGGCTCATTAACAAACTGTGTCGCATTCATGCTTTGAAGAATATGTTTGAGCTTCTTTGTTTAACCTTGACACTTTACACCAGGTAAAAAATTGCAATTTAAATCGCCCATTATAATCACTTCTTTCATTCCAGCATTAGCAATTTCTAAAACATTCTCAAACGACAACATAAACTCCACATCCAAGAAATCAGATCCATCTGGGGGACGATAAAATGTTCCCAATAAAATCCCTTTTGAGTGAGGCTGAATAAGTTCTACCCAGATAGCTTCTTGGTCAGGTTTTTCTAAGTCTTCCCTTCTAATGGCCGATAAAGAATCTGCTAAATAAACAAGAACCCCGCCACCTCTGCATTTATTTTGGCGATCCTTGTGGTAAAGTTATAGCCATCAATCACTATTTCAGTATTTCAAACACTGTTAGAAAGATGACTTTCAGTAATTCCAAGAATACTGATTCCTTTGTGTGACTCTAATAAAACACAAACTTGGTCAATCTTTGGTAGCAAGGATTGGATGTTTTGACGACATACTTTAACAGCTCTGAAAGACTTTTAAGTTTAGGGTAGGCTGTGTTTTCTCTCTCGGTGACTTCCTCAGCGTCTATCATGCCACCCACACTGCAGCTGTCCCAATACTTGCTGTCCTCGAATGAAATTCCAATACACTTCAGGTGGAAAAGACCATTGCATGCTTGACACGAAGCTTTACCTTGGTTCCTTCAGATTGTCTTAAGACAAAGTGAACACGAAGGACGCTTAGTGTGGTTTACCAGACCAAATTTTAGAGATATATCACCCACTTGCAACAGAATTCTGGCGGCGACAAAATAGTTCACCAGTATAATTAGCTGTCCAGGGTTGCCAAATTTGAAAGTAGTTCTGAGGTCTCGCTTCCTTCCACAAGGAAAGCCTTCCAGCCGAATCGAGATTTCTCTTGCTTTCACGTCTCCCGTAATGGCCATCGAGGTAATAAGATTGACAGAAATATAACTTGGCTCAAACAAAGCAAAGCTGACAAAATGGCTCATTGAAGAATTTGCACCATGGTTGTGAGCAAGGGATAACTTTTGGAGGTGAAAGTTGAACAGCGCCAAATGAACGACATGGAAAACCACAGAGCACAGCAAAGCATGACCAGACGCCCTGATATGCAAAATTAAGCTACTAGGAAATGTGGATGCAAAAGAAAACTTGTCAAAAAGAAAACAGAGGCTTTTAACATCAGACTTATTGCTATCTTTAATAAAAACAAACAGGACAATGTACAGAGAACATCTGCAGGTTAATTTTTATAACACAATAACATTTCACAGAATGCTTTTGCAAACCAAACAAAAGCATGACAACCTTGTAGTCAATAATCACAGACCACTAAATAAAGGTTCAATATTTGATGAAATTCACCCACTAAGAACCACAAAAGCTTTTAAAAACGGAAGCCTACAAAACAGTGCTAAATATCTTTTTGTTATGTTTTGATGGCTCATTACAATATATTTGATCAAATTAATTATAACCTCACAAGAAATGAGTTTTATAAGTAGAATCCAACAATACATCTTTTTATAAATATATTTTACACCAAAGAATTAGGCCTGGCCTCAAAATAAGATAAAGAGAATATAAAATTTGTTTTGATTCCTAGAACACTTGCCAGATGTCTCCCATCAACAAAACAATAATTTATTAGCTGGGATGGAATTTGCATAGGCACAGATTTTAGGTTTATTTAATTTTTTTTCTATCCTCTTTTAGCTGAGGGTTTAAATCCTTTAAAATCAACAAAACAATAATTACTGATGAAACCAATAGGGAGTCTAAATGGAAATAAATGTTTTGAAGACAATCTGAACAAAATTGCCCTTATGGAAAGAACCAAACTTAAAATTCATGATTTTTTCATCTTCAGTACATACATATTTGTATAGACAATGCTCAACATGATAAATTGGAAGTCTGAATATGTAAGAGAAAGAGACAGTAGTTTACATTAGCTTGCTTTTTTACCAAAAGGCGTGAACTACAAATTTTGTCGAGAAAATGAGTGCCAATTGCTATATCAGTATCAAACTCAGATAATTGCATAATTTGCTTTGGAGTACTTGAACCACAACTTACACTCAGTGCAGTTTTTCGCCACATCAGAGATTTGGTTTGTTCCTTCAAGAGCATAAATAAAGCGTGAAGCCGTAAAACTAAAACTCTGATGTTGTTCGAAGGCCAAAATGGAAAAGGCAAAAAACATCGCTGTGACTAATAATTCGCATATTCTCTAAAATATGCTCTTCCGTGATCTTTGGTCGTACGATCCACATCAAATTTAGAAGAGCATACGTAGACAAAATGACGATTTTATCTCAGATTTTCAAACCATTTTGAAGACTAAATTGAGCAGTAAAAAATTCCAAAGTAAATAAATCTAGTTACAAATCAAGGGATTTCAGTTAAAGGCAAGTTTCCTGTATGCATATAACACTAACACCTTGGTTAAAATTGCCACCTCCTTTAGAAAAATCTGGGAAAACTGCAATAAAAAATCCGACAAAAATCGGCAAAACCATAAAGGTTTATCTCCATAGCATACAGCACGTGTTTGGTGATGACAAAATGGAGTAAAGTTAGACAGAAGTGATTTCAATCCAACAAATAAAAGATCAAGATTGAGGGGCACTCGTTTCACTTGATACTTGTCATTTACTTTGAACTAGACTTGCCTGAATTAGAAGCTTTAAAACAACGGTTTTTCTCTTGCTATATGAACAGATCTTCAGCAGTGAGCACTTACCAAAAAAGACTCGAGCTGTAATCAACTGGACACCTCTTCGGGTAATGTGTAAGCTTACCTTCAAGTGATTGCGAAAGTACCGATACAAAAAATTGTTTTCACAAGCACTCACCGCGGTACACAATTTGGCGACGTTCTCTCGACTTCCCAAGTGGCAAACAATTTCATGGGAACAGGTCTTTGGGGAGTAGAACCGGTCGAAACATCTCGACGAGTTCCCCCTGTGTCCGCCATGTTGAGTCGATCTCATTGTTTTGGTGCAGTACGCCTGCGCATTGGTTGCAAACTTCCGGTAAAGTTAGAATGCCTGGCAGATTGTAAACCACACAATACCTACCTACAAAAACTTTATTAATGTGTCTTGAAATATCTAGCCGATGGGGTTAAGAACCCCTCTACTAATTGGGGTCACAATTAATAATCTATCAACTATTTTGTAATGAAACTATTAAAAAAGGCCTAACAATGTAATTTAGTTAAAAGCCTATTAACTTATAACTAATGGGATAACTTATTTAAAAAGATTAAGATTTACAAAGGATGCAATTGGAACAGTTGTCGTCTTCTACCATTACAACTGTAGATCAGATTTACGAATACGATTTTTAAAACTAAATAATGATGGGAGAGTTCTGATTTCGCTTGGTAGCTTATTCCACAACTTTGGTCCTAGGTAGGTGAGCAAATGTTTACCATATTTAGTGGTCCTAAATCTGGGAATAGCGAACTCTGCCGTCCTTAAGTTGTAGGGTGAGCAATGCGTGTGAAATAGCTCGCATATTTTGATGGGGCATAGTTTGTGTTTCACCTGGACTTGCTCACAAGTCGCGCTTTTGAGCGCGTAGCGCGAGCGCGAAGTACGAGCCGAGCCGAGCGAGCGATAGCGAGCGAAAGCGCGACTTGTCTTCATTGCAGAGCATCAAGTGACGCCATTTTGCCGCGAACTTTTGCAAGCGCTGCCTGTCAAACTGTCAAAATACTTTTCGCACCTCGCGAAATTGATCAATGGTTTGGTAATGGAGGAGGAAACTACACCAACTAGACCTTTTGTTCGGGTTGCTGTACCGGAAAACATTTGCCTACTATGTAGCAAATTGGTAGAAAATCCAGCGTTACGGAGAAAGTTGTTTTCAGGAAAAAGAAGACCAAAACTTGTCAAAGTCTACAGCTTCTTCTAGGAGATGTTTTTCCGCGAGACAACGAACAATGGGAACTATTTTCCGAAACTGCTCGGAACGCAACGAAACGTTCACAAAGAAAATTTTTCAAGTTAGGGCTAACTTTTCTGGACCAAAAGGAAGTCTAGGAAGCAATTTGCAAAGCTATGTCGGAGTAAAGCGCTTGACAAAAGCCGAAAGAGCTGAGGTACCCGAAGGTGCGATTAGGCAAGGAGCCTCGACAAAGAGAAAAGCTTTATTTGCAAGTGAAGCAGGTTTAGCTCTGTCGACTGGAGAAGAAGTGACCAACGCTGACCCACATCTAAAACCTCTTCTCAGGACAAGAGAAGCCTGTACGCAGACGGAGCCTCAACTCGCAAATACTGAAGAAAAGAGCTTATCGGTGGGCGTAAGTAAATTTCTCGTCTTTGAAATTTTCACGTCTGTGTAGTTCGGCCGGATCTGGCATTATTAGCTAATCGAAGTGATTCGAAACTGTGAAGAGTAATACGCCTATTTTTTAGAAAACACAACAAACTATAAAAATAAAAACGGCAAAATATCATTTAGACTTCTAAATTCATCGTCTCCCCGAGCATTCCGTCTTAAGCGTCGCGCTTTTTCTACATCCGGATTGCAAACAAATTTTCTCATCACATTACTTTCCTTTGATTTTCACGGACATCTTTGTACTGTGCTTTTCGCAACCCATAAGCGATTGCGTCCTTGACTGGACGCATCGTACAACCAGCTGAAAATTTAAGTTTTAGTAAAAGCCTCTACATATTATTAGAGAGCTTTAGATTCGAGTTCGAGAACGAGTACGAGTACGAGTTTACTAGCGTGCTCACATTGCGCATGCGTAGCTCTGCGCGACACTGTCACGGAAGCGGGAAACTCGTCGTCCGCCGCTCGTCGACAACGAGATTTTGACCAGAAGTCGTCCTCTAGAGAACGAATTTCGAAAGGTGAGTATTTTGTATTTTAAACTTACCCTAGTCTTTTTCTAAGTCAGCAAAAGCAAACTTAAAGCCGTATACAGAGGTTTTATCGAATTGAATGTTATTACAAACCCTGATTTCATTCGTATTTGATACTTTTTGGTCGACCTATTTTCACGAAATTCTGAGGTCTACACATGCAAACAACATATCGCCAGTCGAATAAATTTAAATTGAAAAATGAGAGCCTTAAAAAGCACTTTCACCCTTTGAATTTTAACCATACATGAGGGATATAAACAGTGAATTGTTGTGATGTGGTTGACACTTTCCCGACTTTCTTCAATTCGTAGCGATAGCGAAACGAGAACTTTTTATTTGGAAAGGAAACACGAAACTATGCTTCTCAGAGAAGTACTGGTTGAAGAGCCTCACAAGTACTGACCAGATTCAAAAGAGAGAGGTATATCTTGGACGAAAATCGCCGAACACTATAATAAAACCTTGAACACTGAAACATTTTATTAGCTTCTCATTAATTATTGTCATATTAATACCATTATATTTATGAAATGAAAACTAAGGAAGAGTTTGTATGGTAAAATATCTGAATACATTATTTTTACATCTTTTTTAGTTGTATCATATAAATGTACTGTATTATTATTACAAAGTCAGTTCAGCTGTTTTGAAATTAAAAATTATACATATTTACAATTTTGATTTTCTCAAGTAAATTAATTTAGATTTGAAAATTCTCCATAAAGGAAAAAAAATTGATGGCCATGGATCCACATCCCATATTCATCAATTACTCCTTTCAT